GAGCTCAGGGCAGGTTTGGGTGGCGTCTTGTCATTGTGGTGGGTGCTCTCCAGGGCCTGGACTTCTTCTTTGGCCTTTTCTTTGTCAAACTGCTCATCCGCTGGCACACTCTCTCCTGCAGGGAGCAGCAGAAAGAAGGTCTGTTTCCACCCTAAATAGCTCCCCATCAGAGAAAATATTATGACTGCACACACAGCAATCCTTTTTTTAACAGGTTCTTAATACAAAAAAAAGAAAGGAAAACTAGTCAAAATTAACGAGCCTTCATGTGTAGCATTAGTGCAGGACAGGCATGGTCTTGCATATTTTTCCGGGGGACTGTTTGTCGTTATTAAATATAGAAACAAGGAGCTCTTTCTTTAAAAGCCTCCTGTTAGGATCCATGTGCAGTTCAACTCTAATTGCTAAACACAAGGACACAAGATTTAACCTTGTTATGAACATATCCATACTAACATTAAACACATAAAAACAATGATCATATGTCTGCAAACTCCTCTGCCTCTGCTTTAATGAACCACACATAACCTGCCCATAATACAGCCTGTGGCCCTCACCGCTCCTCCAGCGGTTCAGCTCATTCTCAAGCCAGGTGACTGTGTTTCTCAGCGTCTTGTTCTTCTCCTTCTCTTTCTCCCATTTGCTCTTCCACTGCTCTGCTGTCAGTTCCACATTCATAGTCACTTGGTTCTTGATGGTCTTTGCTCTGGTGAGACACAGAGGTGAGAAAGTGGTAGCGGTCTGTTTTGAATACTAACAGCACACAGTTGAGGCTGGTTTCACCGCAGAGCCAGCTCAGAGGTCGGTGTTTCTGAGCTTAAGTCGGTGCCCTGTCTTTATGGAGTCAGACACCAAACCTATGGATCATTCATATTTATGACTCTAGACCACAGTCTTCTTTGCCTCTAATCTTTTAATATTAAAACGTAGCTATTTGTGGAACACCTTTCAGTTCAGTAACATCATTTGTACAGATGTGATGACAGGTTTGTGTCCACGTACCTCTGTCCAAAAAGCAATGTAGACCTGGTCTCTGCATCATTGTAAGCCGAAGGTGAGCAGCAAATGACCATAGTTGTCCGACAGTTCCCTCCCAGGGAATCCTGCAGGATTCTGGTCATCTTACTGTCTCTGTATGGTATGTAGGACTAGGCGGATTGAGAGGGACCATATGTCGCATTATATGATAATTCTGCATGTCACAAACAGCATTTACAACAGTGAAGCCTGTTGTGATGAAATGTAACTGAGCAATTTAAATTAAGGACTGCGGTCCACTATCATGCACTTACAAAATATAATATACTCAATTTGTAACATTTTACCAATATCAAAACCCTCTATGGAGGCTCCTGAGCAGTAGGCCGATGGTTCATCTCAGGGTTCCTAGAGCTTTGAAATAGGTGCAACTCCTGGGATATTCAGGGTGGCTTAGATCAGGTCTTATGATAAATCTATGGTATGTAAAATGTATTCAGGTTCTATAATGCCGTCCTACAATAAAAAGAAACAGTAAATATTTAAAAAATGTCTCCAGCTGCAGGCTGATGTTCCTATTTTTGCACACAAGATTGTTCCACAGTATTGCAAGTCCTTTAACCGAAACAGCTACACAGGTGGTTTGCACTCTGATGATTTCACAACTTTTCATAAATATACACCTTTGCCTTCACATTTTAGCGTGCTGTGCTCATCTTTAGCATAATTTTTTCAGGTCCAATCTGGTCTGATAGTCCCCCCAGAACTGGAAATAATCATAGTAATAACCAAGAAAATGGAGATATGATGTGATCAGTAGATCAACATCTCTATCTTGCACACATTACATGGTGATATGCACATTTATCCAGTGTGTTAAGTGTTTAAGGCGCAGACATCAGCAGAAACAGTACAAAAAATTCTTCGAATTCAGCAATCTGCCTTCATCTCACCCTGTCCTTGTCATCCTCTTCTGTCACACCAACTCTCTGCATGTCATACAACACTACATCCATGAATCTTCTTTGTTGTCCTCATTTTTTCCTCCTGCCTGGCAGCTCAATATTCAACATCCTTCATATCCACTCTCCCTTCTCTGAACATATCAAAACCACCTCACCCTTGCCTCTATAACTGTCTCCAAACTGCTCATTTTTACTGTCTCCGATGAACTCATTTCTAATCTGGTCCAGTCTGGTCACTGCCAGTGGAAGTCTTAGCATCTTCAGCTCTACCTCTCCTGTTTTTTTTTTTGTTAGCCACCATCTTTAAACCATACATAATGGCAGGTCTAACTTTCATCTTGTAATTTTTCCCTTTCACTCTTGCTGCCGTCCTTCTGTCAAATCATCCCAACGCTCATCTCCACCCACTCCACCCTGCTTACACTCTCTTCTTCACCTCTCTTGTGAAACTGTCTGTTGCTTTGGATGGTTTAAGGTATTTAAACTACCTCTGCTCCACCTTCTTATTCACACACATGCATTCTGTCATGCTTTTACTGGATTTCTTTATGCATGCTCAATCATTTAGGTAAGTAAATCCCAGAAGGTTGATTCTGTTCATCTGGACGCAGCGTTTCCAGTGGGAGAAACGTTTCGTCGCTCATCCAAGTGACTTCCTCAGTCTCAGCTGACTGCAGGTTTCCCCAACCTTATAAAGAGCACATTGCACAATGACTGAAACTAGCATCACTGGATGAACAACGTTACGTCCAGATGAACAGAATCAACATTTTGGGATTTACTGGATTTCATTCGTCTGCTCTCCAGAGCATACCTCCACCTCTCCAGGCTCTCATCCACCTGCTCTCTTTTGTCACCACAGATCCAAATGTCCTGTGTAAACATAATGGTTCACAGAGACACCTGCCTGGCCTCTTCTGTCAGCCTGTCCATGACCACCGCAAACAAGAAGCCGTTGAGAGCTAATGTAATCCCACCCCACTTCACAGCTCTGTCACCACGCTCATGCAAATATAACTTATGGGATCAAAAGATCTAATGAACGAATCAGCACATTTGTGATAATAAACTCACTTCAGCCTCTCCTTTTTACGAATTTCATTTATAAACTTTGAATCACATTTTGGAGTGGCAGTAATTCTAACGCTTCACCAAGCAGAGTCGCAAACTGTCTCACCGAGCCTTCTGCCAGAGCTGAGATGACAATTCCCAGTGCAGACAGGGACTTGTTAATCATCTTGGCTTCATCCAGCACTGTACCCTCTGCTCCAGTTTTACCCACCTTTGAAACACAAAAACAGCACAATTGTTATAGTGAAGCTGAAAACTGTGTCACATAACAGATGCTCAGAACCTTTTTCTTTTAACAAGATCAGCTTAGTAAAAGAAAGTTGACAAAGCATGTCAATGGCTTTCCCGGAGTTTAGCGCTATGACTGGTCTGTTAACATTTTACACTTTACTGATGGAAGATTGCTCTAGTTTCCCCCCCTGAACTGAAGTGGCAGCACGATAGCATCATTAAACTTTTATCATACAGATCCATTTAATACAGACACACTTTGCCACTAGGGAAAAGGTAAATGAGAGTAAAAGAGGTGTTTCCACCCTGAGTTTTAAATCAGGCCTGGTTTCTACTCTATTAATAAACAACTACTTAAAAGCTACTCTTTAGCTGGTTCAAGTCAGAGGTAGGCTCTTGAAATTGGGAAAAAACACATTTGCAGAGGTTATGAAGATGAGAGAGGTCAGAGAGGAGGAGGAGTACTGAGGATCATACTTTTTCACTCCCAGCCAGATCGACGAGGTACAGCTTGCCGGTTAATTTCTGTTCAGTCTTACTGTTTTCCTGCTTGATGTTGATGAGGAAGATGCTGTGACTCCTGGAGCTGTGCTCATTCATGTCTGAATGTACATGTGGGCACACAAACAATAAAACAGTTATTACTGATTATATTATTCTAGGTTTGCACGCTATAAAAATAATGGCCCATTGAAGTGTTTTTTCTGAGGGATTACCAAGGTAAAAGAATGAGACTTAACCAGACTAGAATACATAAAACCTCCAGCTGCGACTAACACAGGTAGCTGTAGCTGACTGGTATCTAAAAGGCCTCACATCTTCTAATTCTAACACCTCTTGACCGTCCATATGCTGTTCTTGCCTTTTTAATGGAATTATTGAACATAGACTATGTCCTGCTGAGTGGAAAGATAAATGGAAAAGGACTGGTATTTTTAAACCTGCAGGCACAGGGAGGATATGCAAACTCCAAAGTCCAAAACCAATCCTTGACATCTGGAATGGTGGTATAGTGGTGAGCACAGCTGCCTTCCCAGCAGATCAGCATCTCCTTTGATCTTCATGTCACAGCGTTAAGTTAGGAGATCTAAATTAGGAGACCTTCCGACTGTGTTATCCTGCTGATCTCAGGTAGAGCAAAAACGTTTGTTGTGGTGGCTGCAGATCAGGAGGCAGAGCAGGTCATCGACTAATCAGAAGACTGGTGGTTGCTCCAGTCTGCATGTCAAAGTATCATTGAGCAAGATACTGAAGTTGCTCACTGGTGCTTCCATTGGAGTATGAATGTTACATAGAAAGCAGAAACAAGTGCTGGTGTGAACTGTTGTAGAAATGCATTATGTAAGAACCAGTCTGTTACCATCACAGTGGCTCTATGCATGGACCTGCATGCAACCAAAGTCTGACTAGATACAAACAGTCAGCTTCCAGCTTCCAGGACCAAAAATGTTGTCCCATGCTTACAGATTCTGTATGTGTCAAGAATCGCTGTGTGGCGGGCAGGAGTTGGACCCAAAATGCAGGCTCTCAGACACGAGGGGTGAATGCAAAATCACAGCGACATGGAACAGAGGGAGATTCCGACATAAATACACAGAAGGTAATGAGTGAGGTGGGAACACACGGGGAGCACAGCTGAGGACAATTATGCATAACAAGACAGGGAGGGCACGGAGCTGAAAATACTAACCCAAGATGTGGACCTTAAACGTAACACAGGAAGAACAGAGACACAGACAGGAGGGGAGACAGGAGGGGAGAGAGAGCATGGGGAGAGCACATGAAGAAATACACGAAGGGAAGAGGAAAACACGGAACACAAGGAGTGGGAGCAAAACACAATAACTTACATCACTATATAAAACAGTCACACAGAGGGAGACACAGAAGGCAACAACACAGGGGGAACACATGGGCAGAGAAGACTAAACAGAACAGAGGGCACAGAGAAACATGAGGGGCAGGGGATCAAAACCTAGGAACCATAGAATAAATCACAAATGAACTTGACATAATACAGAAACACAGGAAAACTAAGAACGCTGGGTCAAATGACCCAGGATCCTGACATTATGTTCATATGCAGATGTCTGTTTACAGAAATTATAATTTTCCAACAAACTTAACTGATGCCATAATGGGATCCATTTAATTCAGCAAATAAGTGCATAATTAAGTCAGCTCAGCTTCAGTTTAAATCGTGTACCCATGGTTACAAAGAACCTGACTTTAATGTGTTTTTCACAGATGTCTTCTTGGCTCAGCTTTTGGGAGTGTGGCAACAGTCAGGAGACTCAGTGAGGATGAACCCATGAGAGGCCGCAATGTACGAACTCACTTGTGACAGCCACGCTTCGGTTATTTTTGCCTTCGTCTATGGCTTCCATGACCTCGTCAGGAGTGCAGACAAAACGCTCGGTACAGCCCTGGGGACACATGAACATCACAAGGAAATATTATTCTCAGTAGCCCCACAGCAGGACTGGTTTATAGAGACACATTTATTAGCTGAAGGGACCGTGACACGCTAACAGTCTCCATTAGAACCGGCTGGGAGAAGTTTGTGACTGTATGACTGCAGATTTTGAGTTTAATCAGAAACAATGTTGTGCCTTGAAAATGAAGCACTCGGTTTGTCTTACCTTGACATATGGGACCCTGTTCTTGTCCTCATGTACAGGAAGGTTGGTCTTTGACACTGTGGAGGAAAATGAAAGCAAAGAATGAATCATGGTCTCTGTAACAGGGTCTGACTGATGAGGAGCCCCGTACATACCATCCAACAAGTCCCTAATTTTGTCCAAATAGATTTCAAAATATGAAACCTGCAAAACAAAAGCGCACAGTGAGACTTTATCAGATCTTTTCATGTGCGCCTGCCTCGTTGCTCAGCTACATACTTTGATGTGGAACTCCAGGTTCTCATCCATGGAATAAATGTAGTTAAAGATGTCTTGCACAATTCGAGGAATGATTCCCATCATTTCAGGGTCATGAAGCTTCCCCTTCAGGACATGATGATAAAAGTAAGACAGCACAGAATCTCAGGCTTTTCCTGGCTATTTTTAATATGTTTGACCAGTAGCAAAAAAAAGCAACAGCTGATACTTCATAGTACCTCCATTGTGTGTGTTTTGCCTGAAGATGTCTGCCCATAAGCAAAGATGGTCCCGTTGTATCCCTCCAAAACATCTGTACAAAGAAGTAACACATTTAGGATTGGGGTTTGGCTTTGTATTTCATGAACAGATTCCAATGCACAGCTTACCTTTGACTATCTTCTGAGCCACAGCATTATAAAACTCCTCCTGAGTTGTCTTGGACTGGAACACACGGTCAAAGTAGTATGGTTTGCCCTTTAAACAAGAGGTGGAAGCAGTGAGAAATAGTAAAGTATACCATCAAGATTTAGAGTTTGCTGCACAACAGCAGCCCTACTTTTTCATGCTTTGCTTTGATTTCCTGTCTTTATTTATTTCCCACCCATGCATTTACATAAGCCTGTATTGCTGTTTTCTCCTCATGCCATCTTTGAGTCATCTGCTTCTAGATCAGTGTCCCCCCCCCCCTGGGTTTTCTGGTTTGAGATTTTGATTTTTCTTTCTTTGGAATTTTCTTTGTTGAACATGTTTGTTATATTTAGCAAATTATTTCTATTTAATATATGCTTTGTTACTTCCTCCTCTGCCTTCAGGGTGTCCTCAGCTGAGGCGCTTTAAGAGCATCAGATTAAAAACATAAGATACTTGATGTGACACAGCTCAAGTGTGTTTGCAAGTTACTAAACAAGTGGGATATGTTTCTAAACTATTTTACTACAGCAAGGAACATTTTGGGGGATGGCTGTGGTTTGGCAGGTTGAGCAGGTCATCTACTAATTGGAAGGTTGGTGGGGTACGAATGTTAAAAAGCACTTAGACATTAAAGAAAGTGAATGTTCATGTTCAACTGCTCCGAAGCAGTCACATCAGCCAGTCACACTGCAGCAACTCAGTGCAGGCATGGTGAAGATGACCTGTTCAAGTTGATTTAAGTGGCTTTCATTAGCCTTAATTGTTAGTGCCTCCAAAATCAGCATTTCCAACCCAAAATATAGAACGATGTAAAAAACAACAACAATTTCAGTTAATAAAATGTGAAAAGGTCTGCTTACTGTTTCGCACACTCACCATCAGCACACAGTCGTCCCCCTTAAACTTGGGTATGTACTGGTCTCCGCGGGCCACCTCAGCGCTGTTCAGCGGCCTGAAACGGCACACCACCTTGATGGTGCACTCCGCCGCCGCGTCCCCCATCCTCGCCGCAGTGGATGAATGGATGGATGAAGCGCTCAGAGAACAAAAATGTGGTGCTGCTGAAGTTGTCTGTCGCTCGGCTCAGAGACTTTCCCCGCAAAAAGAAGTCAAAAGTAAAAACTGTAAAACATACATTCATTTGTGTCTCTATTCAACACTTTTCAGCGAAAGCTGACAATAAAAGTCGGCTAGAAGAAAACTAACAGCATGCTCCCTTCGGGCGCGCATTGATGAAAAAGCCTCTTTGCAGGGCTGAACTAAAAAACGATTAGAGCACATGACACATGAACAGAAGCGTCACATTGCTGCTCAGGATCTGCGACGCTGTTGACCACCCGACGGTCAGAAGTCACGTTTAAGTACTGAGTAGCTTCAGGTATTTTAAAAGAAAGAAGGTACATTTATACTGTAGGGAATTTGAAGTAGGAACTGTGGGTATTTTACAAGAATATATATCTCACAAGAAAGAAGAAACAAGTGACAGTGTGCACTTTTTTATATAAGTGCTGTGGATATAAAAAGTAAACACACCCGTGTTACAATGCCAGATTTTTGTGCAGTTAAAAAAAATTAGACCACAATAAAAAGAGAGCGGGAAGATGATCCCATTGCTGATGAGGACTGAGATGAATGTATCAGTGAGAATTGTGAGTATGATACCATGAATGAGGACGAATTGGAGAAGTTGTTGAAGATGAGACTGAAGACATCAGACTTCATTCCCCTCTTATAGAGCAGTTACCTGTAGAAGACACTCTGCAAGAATATTAACAGGCTTGGTACTTAAACCTCTGAGACAGATGTTACAGGAAGCTGCTCTGTCAAGTTTACCAAAGAGAAGCTTGGAAGTGAGACTGCTCTGTACAAAAAAAAAAAATGAAGAAGCAGAGAGGACGCTGTGAGCAAATTCCAAGGATACTAAATCCTCAGCTTTTTAGCCCTTTAAGAGGCAGTGAAACAGACACAAACTACAGAGAGTGTGCACCCTTAAACTCAGCCCTCAGCTCCTCCTCAAACAATAGATTCTGAGAGAGACCTTTTAAGTGCCTAATGTGAGTTATTAACAGCTACTCAGTTAAACAGTCTTGTTTGCAGGAATGGAAAACTGTAATTCCCTTACATGGTTGGCAGGCTATATTCTTGTGCCAGGGCCTGTTTTTACATATATAAACATGCACTTTAAAATACTGACAGCTGTTCTTTGCTTCTCTACTGGGCTACATTTGCTTTTTCTGCATCTGTCTCAGTAGGTACTGATGTAAATAAGCAGGGTTTTAAAGGCAAGTGTATCATATTTGATACATGAGTTTTTGAGACCATCCAAAAAAGACTAAATTAATAGCACAATATATTTTTAAGGAATAAAATGCAATGTCCCAAATATGATACAAAATGAAACAAAATGTGCAAATTAACTCTTTTTTTTCTTTTTCTTTTTTAATTGTCAGAATGTTCACAGAATTTTAACAGGCAGTTAATTCATGGTTCAGGCTTTGAAGGGTTAAAAAAATCAGCAGCTTTATGCTGATGCTACTTTTATATCGTTATTCTTTGCCTCTCATGCTCAACACTGCCTTAAACTTTGGTTACAATGTGAGGTTCACTGTGTGGCCCAAGAAGGTCAAAATGTTGACCATGATTATGATCTAGTAGATCAGGGCTGCCCAATCCCAGTCCTCAAGAGCTACTATCCTGCAGCTTTTAGATGCATCCCTACTCCAACACAGCTGAATCAAATGGTTTGATTACCTCTTCAGCATGCCATCATGTTTGGCAAAGGCCTGATAACAAGCCATTCATTTGATTCGGGTGTGTGGGAACAAGGATGCATCTAAAAGCTGCAGGACGGTAGCTCTCGAGGACCGGGATTGGGCACCCCTGTAGTAGATGATCTATAAAGACAGCACAGTGTACTATCAGTGTAGAGGACAGATATTAGCCAAGATAGCTTGCAAAACATCTCCTTACACAATACAGTTGTGTAAATCCACAAAGAACAGTAAACCTCAGAGCAACAGCAGCAGCACACATCACAGCCTGTACTTTAAAAACACTATTGACTAGTCTGCATTTGAAACATATACAAAGGCACAAGAAGAAGAAACCAAGAAAGTCAAGGTTGCAGAAAGATGAATCATCAGGGTTAAAATGAGAAGAGGGGAATATGTTCTCTTTACTGCATGCAAACAGAACACGGCTCCCTCGTGTATGAGGTCGTCTGATTAAATGTAAACTCTTCATTTTTTTTAAAGCATCCCTGCTTTACTTGTGGTGCCTGAATGTTGGTAAAACAGCTTTCCTCTGAAGTAACTAGCAAATCACAAGCATTCTGATTAATTTTGAGCTTCAATCTGCCTTCACTGTTTCCTGAGGGATTACCAACTGCTAACTTAAGGTGCTTAAATATTTTTGCACAACTTATTAAAAAAATAATGTTAAAATCTTTTAAATTGAAGTATTTTCATTTTGGAAGTTTGTAAGTATTGCACATCAAGGTTTTTCTTCTGCAAGAGTTGAAGAAAAACCTTGATGGTTTGCAGAGTGTTGATTTGGTTGCTTTTATTGCAAAAATCATACTTGAATGAAAAAAAAAAACACAGGTCTTCTTGCAGAGCTTACCTTCTTCTTGTCACACTCAGAGTTAATAATGGATAAGAAAACATATTCTGCATCCCTGTGGTAGGAAAAAGGTCAGGAGGCTGTACAGTATCCTGAGGTGGTTGTGCATTTTAAATGATGATGAATCACTTGTGTACAAAAACCTGCTTGATTTACCGGACTAGTGATGTCACATAATGAAAATGTACCTTATACATTTTACCTTTGTACACATATCATTTTGTATTGTAATTTCTGCCCATGATGTTTTGGATTTGTAGTTATGAAAATGATATTGAGAAACCGGATGGGAATGAGACAGAACTGTGGAGTTGTCTAAAACACATGAAATTTATATCCACCTGCAGCTCAGAGCAACTTTCAAGGCGCGTATCTTTTCCAAGACTGTAGTGGAGGGTTTGTTTGTTTTTTTAAAATGCAGTAGCTCCCTCTGCTGGACTCCAGGCTTTCCCGATGCCATTCTGGGGGAAATATCTTATTAAATTGAATAATGTCTGCAAAACGTCTTGATTCATTGCCTTCCGCTTATCCTGTTCAGGGTTGCGCGGGGCACTGGAGCCTATCCCAGCTGTCTTAGGTTGAGAGGCAGGGTACACCCTAGACAGGTCGCCAGTCTGCCGCAGGGCTAACACATAGACAAAGACAACCAACTGCATTCACATTCACACCTATGGGCAATTTAGTATTTCAAATTAACCTAACCCCACTAATTAACTAAGTGTGGGAGGAAGCCGGAGCCCCTGGAGAGAACCCTAGCAAACACGGGGAGAACATGCAAACTCCACACAGAAAGACCCTGGCCTGATGTGAGGCAACAATGCTAACCATCGTGCTACCGTGCTCATAGACTGCACAACCAAATCAAGTTTGAATAAAAACGCTGTCAGCTGTTATAGCTAAAGAAATCAATTTTAAAATTCTCTCCCTTCACTCCTCTGTGACCGTATGTCTGAGTGCAAAGATCTCACACTTTCAAAAGCCACCCACAAAGCTTATAAGGAGGGTACTTGTCACATAAATGTCACACAAATCACTGTAATGATCTCACTGATGGAAAATAGCTGAAAAAAAAGACCCCGAAAAGTAAACAGCTAATGTTGCTAGGCAAAAGACTTCAGAAGAAAGAAACACAACTGCCCTGGCTGGCTACCATACATTCATCTCTTGGTGAAAAGGTCCATATGAACAAGGAGACTTCAACATTGGGACTTCATCTTCTCTCCAGGGGCGGATCTACAGGGGTGGTATGGGGTGGCATGTGCCACCCTAAAATAATCTCTTGCCACCCCTAGTGCCACCCTTGCTTTTTGCATATGACAATGTTGTTTATTAAGATAAGCTAGCATTAACCCTTTGCGCCGAGCTACAATTAATTTGAATATAAATTCTAAAACTGGATATATTGCATAGTGTTACCCTCCCTCCCCACTGCTAAAAAATGGTTCAGCCCTGCAGACAGGCTTTATTTCTTGTTGTCAGTAGCAACCAATGCCTATGATTGTGCTGAACACATTTTGAATCTAGAGTTCATCAATGAGGTCGATGCGGGATGGCCCCACTGCTCATACTGTTAGTTCAGAGTGCTCACGATGGTCTCGGCTTGTCTTACGACAAAAATAAAAAGTAAAAACGGACAAAGTGATAACGTGCTCCGTGAAAAGCAGACTGTGGGTTGGAAGAGAAAGAAACAGAGATCTGTTTAGTTTCACTTACAGAATGTATCTTAACACTTTCCGTGAGAATATTTAAAGTAATAAGTAATATATGATATGGTTTCTTTTTGTTTCCATTTCAGTGCCACGGTGAACTGAGGACTCAAACACGGGACTCCGATGGTTGGAAAGAACACACTTTTATTTGACACTCCACCAGGTATATGTTCAATAGTGCAGGAAAAGTTCCTATATACAATAGTGCCAGGGTAAGGGCTCCGGGAGATCAAGTTAATATAGATATATACAAGTTAATACGAAGGGACAGAATCAACAAGAGCTATGAACTAATCTTAAAGATGGGGCTACACTGGTGCGAGTCATACAACGATCCAGCGTCCTTTCCTCAGCTTAAGTAGTGGCAAGGATAATGAGGCGCAGGTGTTCACTCTCCACAGGTGTGTTGGGCGAGGGCAGGAACCCACAATGAGTTCCACTCCGGCGAGAGAGAGAAAAACAATGACACTGCTGATCATCTTCATGCTGGTCCACCGGGCCGTGACGTTAAGTAACATGAATATGGAAGTGTAAAGAGGCACACAAGATCTCAGTTATTGAAGCACTACAGGTTAAACCATGGCCACCTTTGCTGCAGAAACGCTTATCCATGCACATATTTAAATTGTCTGTGCACTCCGAAGTCACCTATGTAGATCACATGATCAGACATTGCAGAGATCAGTAGATTGCTGGTGAGGTGATTGAAGCAAGCTATTCATTGATGATTTCAAAAGAGGGTGACCAGCTCTCTTGAGGTCAGCAAATATTATTGTTATTATTATTATGAAATATTTGTTCCACAAAACTAAAGTGTTGTAATTTGAATTTACTTATGTACACTGTGTGGAAATTGTTGATATATCCTGGTTTAGTAAATCAACTTAAAACCTCTACGGTTATACCAGTTAAAACAAGTTAAGTGAAATAAAATCCAGGTATTGCCACACACACTAATTTAAGTCAGTTAAGTTGGAGCTGCAAAGTATTTTTTTTATTGGATTTACTAAATACAGTTAACCTAC